TCGAAATGATTTCAATTTTTTATCTAAATTCTTTTTAAATTTTATGTAAATAATTTTGTATCTACATGATTTCAGTTTCTTATCTAAATGATTTCAATTTTTACCTATATTCTCTCGAAATTTTTATCTAAATAATTTTGTATGCAAATGATTTCAATATTTTATCTAAACTTTTCCTAAATTTTACGTAAATAATTTTGTATCGAAATGATTTCAATATTTTATCTAAATTTTATGCAAATTATTTCGTATCCAAATGATTTCAATATTTCATCTAAACTTTTCCTAAATTTTACGTAAATTATTTTGTATGCAAATGATTTCAATATTTTATCTAAACTTTTCCTAAATTTTATGTAAATAATTTTGTATCGAAATGATTTCAATATTTTATCCAAATTTTTCCTAAATTTTGCGTAAATTATTTCGCATCCAAATGATTTCAATTTTTATCTAAATTTTATGCAAATTATTTCGTATCCAAATGATTTCAATTTTTTATGTAAATTATTTCGTATCCAAATGATTTCAACGTTGTATCCAAAATTTTCCTAAATTTTATGCAAATTATTTCGTATCCAAATGATTTCGACGTTGTATCCGAAATTTTCCTAAATTTTATGCAAATTATTTCGTATCCAAATGATTTCAATTTTTATCTAAATTTTATGCAAATTATTTCGTATCCAAATGATTTCAATATTTCATCTAAACTTTTCCTAAATTTTATGTAAATTATTTTGTATGCAAATGATTTCAATATTTTATCCAAATTTTTCCCAAATTTTATGTAAACAATTTTGTATCCAAATGATTTCAATGTTTCGCCAAAACGTTTAGATATTCTTACTACTAACAAGAAACGATTACGTAAGGAAATGTATGCCTAGTACAAAACGTATTATTCAACTTTCGAAATGAAAAGAATCTCACGTAACGCTCAATACGAATATTCTGTACGCAATTAATCAAGAGCCCACGCGTAAGCAGAAGTGAAAGGTCACTAGTGAATATTAAGGATATTACCAAATACATTTAATGCGTGCCATAATGTATATAGAAGACACTGTAACATGGTTATTACTATTAATCACAACTGTCGGGAATTAATGCGGCTGCTGAAAACCACGACATTAATGTATACTAACGACATTAAGAGCAACGTGTAAGCATCTTCACGTTTACGAGAATGCTCGCTGTATTAAACATCAACCACTTGTTCAACTTTGCATTCTAAAAACGGAGAAACAGGAAAGAAGTGTTTTATGCGTGTCATCATTCATAGAGTAAAGATCTTCGCATGTATCAACTAGGTAAAGAAGTCAATGAATTGTTACCTGTCGCAAATTCTTACACATTAACTACAAATATTTCATTTCTTTAATGCAATTTCTTTCAAGATGACCACTTAATAAAAAGAAAATTTTTTAAATCATTGCTTTTTTACGAAAAACATTAATTTCCTTTTTAAAAGTGTGAAACATCCATTGATAAATATTTCCAGAGGTTCACGATCAATTTTATTAATTTCAAGATCGAAGTGAAGGAAAATTTTAATTATTATAAAATTTTGTCAACTTTTTGGACAGCGCAGAATAGACAGCGCAGAATTAACTGATTTATTCTACCTGAAATTTTGCTATAAGATTTTTAAAAATTTTGTAATTTTAGAGTCATATTTGGTAATTCGTCTTTTTTTTATTCAAAAATGATGAATCGAGTGAAAACGAAAAATGTAAAAGACTTGAATCGTTCGAAACTGTTACTGTGAACTCTAACTGGAGGTAAAACTGCATTTTTTTTAAATGATACCGTAATATCGAGAAATACGATAATTACTTTAGAAATTACCGACTTTTAGGCGTTCTGTGCACTAATTACTTTAAGTACCAGGTACTCCAACTATAAGATGCTCTAGGTAGTACCTAAGTAC